GAGAGAGAGAGAGAGAGAGAGAGAGAGAGAGAGAGAGAGAGAGAGAGAGAGAGAGAGAGAGAGAGAGAGAGAGAGAGAGAGAGAGAGAAGGCTCCGCTGCTGGCGCAATACACCTCCCGCCATAGCCGGAGGTAGAGAGAGAGAGAGAGTGCTCCGTCATTGGTGCATTGGACGACGCGCGTCATCGAAAAAGGTAAGCTTTGTTCTCTCTCTCTCTCTTTCTCTCTCTCTGTCTCTCTCTCTGTCTCTCTGTCTCTATTCCTGTCTGGCAGGGAGAAGAGAGATCTACGTGCTCTACGTGCTTTGGTGCTCGGTGCTCTACGTGATGGGTGCTCGGTGCTCTACGTGGTTTGGTGCTCTGTGCTCTACGTGCTTTGGTGCTCTACGTGCTGTGGTGCTCGGTGCTCTAAGAGCTGTTTTTTTCTCGGATTCAGTTCATGTTCTTTTTTGTTTTTCTTTCGTATTTGTGTTCCGTATTTCTGTTTTTTCTTCCTTGGAATAAGGTTGTTTTTCTTTCGTATTTCGGTTTTTTCTTCCCTTGAATAAGCTGTTTTTCTTTCGTATTTCTTTTTTTTTCTTCCAAAAAAAAATGATTAAATTTGCATATCGTGACGAACAATTTTCGAACAAGATTTATTTCGGTATTTACCGTTTTTTTTTTTTTTTAATACATTGTAATGAGTGTTTTCGCATTAACCGTTTTTTCCCATTACGATTCAGTTCGGTAATAAGTGTTTTTTTTTTTTTTTTTAACTGTTCTTTCTGTCTACGGAGGTAGTTGGCCGGTTGGCGCCGGGTGGGGGAGGAAAGAAAACGCGACGACATTCGTTTTTTTTTCCTTCTTTTTTCGTTCGTCATGTTTTTCATCTTTTTCGTTTTTTCTAACGTTTTTTTCAGTATTTCCTTTCGTTTTTTTGTGTTTTTCTTATCGCTTTTTTCTATTGTCTATCGTTCGTTATTATCGGGTTTTTTTCGTATTTTATATCGTTTTCTCGTACTGATGCATACAACTCCCGTTGGCCAAGCTGTGCGAGAGAGAGAGAGAGAGAGAGAGAGAGAGAGAGAGAGAGAGAGAGAGAGAGAGATTGGTGGCACCGTACATGTGTCATAGCCGAACATAGAGAGAGAGAGAGAGAGAGAGAGAGAGAGAGAGAGAGAGAGAGAGAGAGAGAGAGAGAGAGAGAGAGAGAGAGAGCTCCTTCGTTGCTTTATTGAACAATGCGCACCAAAAGAAGCATGACAATATGGACAAAGGACGATGGTTGTTGCGGTAGGGCGGGGCGACAATATGGACAAAGGACGATGGTTGTTGCGGTAGGGCGGGGCAAATGGCGACCATACGGAGGACATACGGCCGAGGGCGGCGAGATCGATGGTGAGGGAAGGGACTCAGATGGCATGCGAGGAGATGTAGGCTATGTGGAAGGTCGATGGCGATGTGCAGAGGAAGGGAGGAGCATGGCACCTGTGCGGAGTCAGATGGCGCCGGGCGGAGTATGAAGGGAGGGATATGGCGACCGGGCGGAGGGAGGGGAAACGGATAGAATGGCAAAGTGAAGAGGGATTATGTTATTCTTTTTCGGGAATTATGTTGAAGTTATATTTTTTTCCTCACCAAATACATCTTTTTGAATTGACATTGTTTAGGGATTGTGTACTTTTTTCTTTTTTTTGGGAACTGCTTTTATTTTGTCACAATTTTTTTTTTTTTCACAACTTTTTTTTTTTTTTCCCCTTTAATCTTATCAACGTCTTCTTCCTGCGAACTTGCTCTATTCTGATTATTCGTTCTTTGTTTTCACAATGGTTCGTAATTTTTTCGTGTTGTTCGCTTGTTTTGCATTTTGTTTTTACATTTACTTTGTTTTTTAAGAAGATCTTATTCAGTTATAGAAGTACTTCGAGTAATTGTTCCAAGCTTCGTCTTTTCACTCTGAATTTCGTTATTGGACTCTGAAATTGATATGGGTCTGGGCTCGCCAGAACATCCACGCTGAGCTGTTGTACCCATCTGCTTTCTGGGGGGAAAATGTGCCTTGGGCAGGCCTTTTAACCCTTCAATCGCAATTTGTGCCATGGTCTCTCGCGCGTTGTCCATGGTCTATATTTTTTTCCTCGCAGCCACGGTTTCCGATGGTTCAGGGTTTAGGGTTTAGGGTTCAGGGTTTAGGGTTCAGGGTTCAGACCCGTATAACGCTTGTTGTTTTTCCTCGCAGCCACGGTTTCCGATGTGCTGCCATCTTAAAAGAACATGGATTTGCTTCTATAATAATTGCGCAGCCTGTTAGATGATCGAGCGACTTCTTCACCTGTTCTTATCCCATGATTTTTCTTTTTTTTCTTTTTAACCACCTTTTATTGTAGTGTTTGTCATGAAGCAACCGCTTGAAGTAACCTCTTATGTGTGTGCGTGTGTATGTGTGTGTTTGTGCATATATGCCACAGTTCGGCCATAGCTGGTGGTTTGTTCGCGGTTGCAGACAATTGCTCTGCACCAACTCGTCAAGTCGGCAGGCACAGAAAGGTGACCTGTCTTTTTTATCTTTTATTTTTTTTAGCCACCAAAGTTCTTCGTTCGCATTCAACACTTACAAACCAACGTGGCAGCAACAATAGACTCATGCAGCTGCGTAATGAACGCTTGGTCGAAATTCTGTTAATGCCCAAAACAAATTGGTTGCGCAGGCTGTTAGATGATCGAGTGACTTCTTCACCTGTTCTTATCCAATGATTTTTCTTTTTTTTCTTTTTAACCACCTTTTATGATAGTGTTTGTCATGAAGCAACTGCTTGAAGTAACCTCTTATGTGTGTGTGTGTATGTGTGTGTTTGTGCATGTATGCCACAGTTCGCCCATAGCTAGTGGTTTGTTCGTGGTTGCAGACAATTGCTCTGCACCAACTCGTCAAGTCGGCAGGCACAGAGAGGTGAGATGTCTTTTTTTTTTTTTTTTTTTTTTTAGCCACCAAAGTTCTTCCTTCGCATTCAACACTTACAAACCAACGTTGCAGCAACAAGAGACTCATGCAGGTGCGTAAGGAACGCTTGGTCGAAATTCTGTTAATGCCCAAAACAAATTGGGGATCTTGTATGCAATTTTTTTATTATCATTGCAGAGCGTGTTCCCTGTGTAGTCTTCTCTCGAATTTGTTATGATATGACGTTTTATACTCTGTGCCCTATGTATTGTTCGTAAACTGCATTTTGGCCTCCTTTGTGTTGTCAGGTTTTAAGTGATGGTCTGTTGTGTAGTGTACGGCCAATATGGCATATAGGTGTGCAGATAGTTTCTCACTCCTCATCCGTTAAGCGCTTGGTACTGGATTCCGTGCCACAGAACGGGCAGCGCCACACGTGTATGTGTGTCCCGTGTCTGTGTGCGTGAGTGTGTGATAGCGTTTTGAACTTTGAAAGAAGATCATGACAAGTTACGATAATTTGGTTTACCTTGTTGTTCTTAATGTCACTTGCACATGGAATTGTGAAACGGTATTCACCAATTCGTGGTAGCTGAGGTAGATCCCAGGGCTCGATCCCTAGTTTCCCAACTTACCTGTGAAACGGTATTCACCAATTCGTGGTAGCTGAGGTAGATCCCAGGGCTCGATCCCTAGTTTCCCAACTTACCTGTGTACAATACCAGCGTCAACTCGAAGAGTTGAACCTGCGACCTGTAGAACCGCCAGTGGTAGGTAGGTCTGTCGTAGGTCTATAGGTAGCCAGGATTCGATCCGTAGACCTATAGACTAGAAGGCTAGCTGCAGTCCTTCTAGAAGGTTGGCAAGTGGTCAAGTGGTGCAGGCAAGTGGTCAAGTGGTGCAGGCAAGTGGTCAAGTGGTGTGACTAAAGCAAGCCCATGTTGGAGAGAGTGTAGAAAGTACCAGTCCGGTCCAGCAAGTACCACGGGGGGAACTGTGTGCACCATGGGCCAGGGACACAAGGCAGACCAATGCAGCACAGAAG